CAAAGCTGGCAGCTCGGGCGGATATTGTGGAGCAAAGAAGCTCTATTGTGTTTGCCAGTCATCACGAGAATCAAATGAACAAATTTAGAATAAGCAAAATGGGCTGAAGTTCCTTTAGCAAAAAGCCCTCAAAGGCTGGTCAGGCTTAGTGAAAGAGAGTATGGGATATTCTTCCTGAAATTATAAATAGTAAACACTTGAGCAGCAAAATGATCTGCCCATTTTGCTCTTTGTGTAGTTGCTCTGTCTTTCAGAACATACAGTAAATCTAAAAAGATAGAAGATAAATTACTTGTCCCTCTCCAATTTAAAAAATGACTAAATTATACACTTCAAACCACATATACAATATCACCTGGGGAAAATAAACTGTGCACCAAGCCAGGTGAGTCCATTCCCAATGCCAAGAGCTACAGAAGGAACAAAAACAGATGCAAAAGAGACTACATCTAAACTTGAAAAGGTTCCCTGATAATCCCCAAAAAGAAGTGTTGAGAGCTGATAAAGAAGGAATGACTGAAGAACACAGACCACATCCCCAGATGAAGACAGAAAAAAATGTCAGACTTTGGATAGGAAGGAACACAAACCTTCTGTATTTGGGACTCAAAATACTATCAAATTCAGAGACACTTCCCCCAACTCAGTAAGCTGAAAATAGGCCAGACAATGTTCCCATTGAAAGATGCTCCTGCTAATTCCTTCAGCTGTGAATCACAAAAGGTTTTAGAGTAAGAACAACAAATATTTTCATGATGCTACAACTGTTGCGGGACAAGTACAAAGCAGAACACTGATCTCTAACCGAGATTCATCACAAAATAGAAACAAAAGAGAAGATGGGGTGCTGCAAAAGAAGATCCCAGTTTTCTCTTCTTCGATATGTCTGGATCCTGCAGCTCTGTGTGCACATTCTCCTTGTCCCGCATGAAGGTCCTGGTCTGGGTTGGAAGGGACCGTTAAGGGGCCATCTCGTTCCACTGCCTGCCATGGGCAGGGACACCTTCCACTAGCCCAAGTTGCTCCAAGCCCTGTCCAGCCTGGCCTTGGACACTTCCAGGGGTGGGGTAGCCACAGCTTCTCTGGGCAACCTGTGCCAGGGCCTCACCACTGTCACTGTAAAAAATTTCTTCTTAGATCTAGTCTAAATCAACCCTCTTTTGGTTTAAAACCTGACAGAAGCAGCAGTACTGCCAGATTACTTGCTGCAAGGAATACTGGAAAATTTCTGTGTCCAAGTCCCCTGTCACACTGCTTGTCCCTGTTACCTTTCAGCTTTTGCTAACTTGCATCTGAGAGTTAACTCAATTCTTGGTGGTCTCACACATCTGCAAAAGGGCAAACACGCCTGCGTTCAGGGCTGGGATATGGGAATACAGACACCTGAGCCTGAAATCCTCTTGATCACATCAAGGTTTCAGAAGAAAAAAAAAATTTGAAACATTTAAAACATCCCATAAAACCCTAGGACGCTGGCAGTAAGGCAGGCTTTTAGGGAAACCAATTACCTTATTCCCAGAAGTTAGGGCATGTCTCTTAGACCCTTGCAAACTATGAGTTAGGAGTGACATGTGAGCTCCTATTTCAGGGCCTTGAACCTGCTGCTATTTTGCTGGGAAAAACTACTCACACATTTTGTGCAGTCGCCATGGCTACACAGGGAAAGGCTAAAAAGTTCCAAAGCTAAGTGTGGGTGCTGGAGCCCCGAGACCCCGTCTGCAAAGCACGATGGAAGCAGGCCACTCGGAAAAGTCATCTGTGAGTGTCCATCACTGGAATGGAATACCCATGGATCAGACCCACAGGGATGAATCCCAGCCCCAAACCAAGGGACAATCCTTCACAAGCGCAAGGAGAGCTTTTTTGCCATTCCACATGCAAATTCTGTCCATGACTTTTGTTAGGGCAAGGGAGGCAGCAGAGAATCATGTAAAATGAATAACTGTCCAAAAATATTCAGAAGACCATCTTTTCATTTCTTTTTCCTCAGGGATAATGGATGAGCCCTGAGGTGGCAGTGACTTTGAGCAACTAACAACTCAGACCTGGACTGGGATCAATAACCTAATTACAACATGCATTTTGCTGCTTTCATGAGCTATTCAAGTATCTCAAAGAAACACAAAATTCTTCGTGTGTGTGTGTGATTACCCCAAACTGTCAGTGGTTAGTTCCAAAAGCGTATCCTCACTTAAAAATGGTAGTTGTACCACAAATTAAACTATTATAGCCATGAGTAAAATTAGGTTCCACATTTGTACTTTCTAAAATATCAAAGGTATGGTTAGTAAAGTCTTTTGTTTAAGATCTCTAGAGTCCTGGAGGTAATGAAAACTGGGTCAAGGAGTAGTTTCTCTCAAAGTTTAAAGTAAATGCTGTGTTCAAGCAATACCTGCTCCTGTGACTCATGGAGTATTTGGTGTAGAGAATGGCACTACTGTAGCAACACACACACACCAACAGTAGTACCACTGCCCTCACCAAAAAAGGAGGAAGGGGGGAAAAAGAAAGGCATAGCAGATGATTTTGAACAGTTTCCTGTTACGGTCCCTCGAAAGAAATCCAGCCGTACTTTCTCCCTGCTTTCTGTTCGCTGAATTTCTCCTGACAGTTGGCTCCTTCGTTTGCCAGAACCACAACAAAGGACGGCCTTGAGTTTCCACACAGGCCATTTTCTCCCTCTCTCCTCTCTGATCATCTCACAAAGGTATTATTGTTGCTGGTTCACTGGGGCTCAGTGCACCTGAAGCACATCAAAGGCACTTTTTAGTGCCCGCCTGACCACACAGGTCTCTCTCCCACTGCATTAAATTAAACTCGATGATTAATCTCTGTAGCCCTGAGGGTCCCCTGGTGCACACAGAGAGAGAAAATATATATTTCTATCAAAACACAAGTATAATATACTTTCATTTTATAGCCCTAATTAAAAAAAGGAACAGCTAATTTCAGCCAAATGCAGCTGCATATAGGTCTCATTAAAACACAAATACAACTGCTCTGTGTGCTGTACATTCACTTCATGCAGCCTGTGCAGGTAATAGATAAAAGAACAGTAAACCAAAGTCCTTTCACAGATTGAATCCAGAGAAGTTTAGAACTTACTTATTGTCTGCTGGCTACAGATTGTTATACCTCTGTGCAGATGAGTGAAGGAAGGCAGTTAAGGAAATGATTATAAAATGCTGAGTAGTTACATTTAAATAAAGATCCACTTAAATCTAGCCAAAAAATGCACAAGCATCTATTCCCGAGTTTGCATTGAAGTGATTAAGAGCCTTAAAAGGTTCTACCTTGTGCAGTCTGTGTTTGACTTCGGGGTTGCTTTAATGACAGAACACTGACATGGACTTTCTCAAGTCCCTTTTGTTCTATTAGCATATTTAATGGAGCCACATCTCTCATGGTTGTGGAGTATGCACACAAAAAGTGTTGTGAAAGTGTCAATGCTGATGTGCCATGCTCTAGTCTGGGAAGCAAAATAATCTATACTTGTGAACTGGGTCTAGTTAGAACTTACTAATATACAAATATTAAAAATTAATAAATAACCACATACATGTGCTCCTACAGGGCTGGTTGTACTAAAGGAATAAGCTGGAGCCAGGTGGCCCATTGCCAGCTACTCAAGGCTGCCCTTAGACCTTTGGGGGAAACTGTCTGCGAGCTCCTCAGCTCATTTCAGTCCAGTATTATGTCTCTATTAACTCAACTCATTTTAACAATTTAAACTAACTCAGCTAAATGAAACAGGTTAGAAAGAGTTCACTCAAACAGCTTCTACTGAAAGGGCAGAAACCTCCAGCAAAAAAACTGGAAATAATGAAAGTAGTGGCAGGCTCAAAGGGTGACTCCTTCCCCCAGGGCCAGTACCTGCAGGTGCCCCACCTGCCCTGTGACAGACACAGAGGTACCAGTGGAATTTTTCAGAGACAGAGCAAGTCAAAAGTGATGGAGTTTGAGGTTTGAAACTTTTGTTTAGGAAGGACCCCAAATATATTCCAGTTTGCCTACAGGATTTAAGCTCTTGTTCAATGCTCTGCTTCACAATAGTGGGATTATTCACGTCTTTAAATTCAATCATGTGCTAAAATGCTTTGCAGAACGACAATCCATGTGACAAGATCACCATTTATTCATGCTCAAGATCACCATGGATTCACACTGTCACTACAGAGACAACTTAACTTACTGTTAAGCCTGATGTTTTATTATCAGCCTCCTTTCTTTTTCTCTCCTGCCGCTTTCTCCATGAAGCATGTTAGTCCTCTCTAACACCTCTAGCACTCCCCGTGCCATTTGCTCCTTTTGGAAAAATCCAAGTTATAATCAGTCTAAATTTAATACCAAAATGGGTTTTAAATAAAAAATGTGGCAGAAAAGGGTACTTATCTAAATGGAATGCTCTCAGACTCATACATTTTAAAACCGTATAAATTTCAAAAGCAGACACTAAATTTTAATTGCAATCTCAGAGAAAGCTTTTGTATTAATTCACAGAGAAAAATTAGCAACGTGAAAATTGCTTATTGGGGGTTTTCTTTCTTTTTAGTCATGATAAGTATCATAATTCTATACATCATGGCAATTTTCAGAGGAAGAAGGATTTATATTGATTCAGGGAAGAGGTGGGGGAGAAGGGCTCTGACTGAAGACGTGCACTCCTTCTCCAAAGCCACTATTCTGCAACACATTAGTGACAGGCCTGTCACAGATAACTCAGGCTCAGAGTCTTTGGCTCAGATTTCAGGCTGCTCTTTAAGCCACTCTGGCATCGTGGTTTTTACTTTCCATGTCATTTTTCAGTATTGATTTCTACTACTATTAAAGTTCTTGCCTAATAGCAAATGCGCGGTAATTTATAATTAATATCTGAAGGAAAAGATAGAGTTACCAGAAAAAATTCAAGGGAAAGGAACTGGGTGAGAAGGACAAAGGTCACTTTTCCCTTCAAAAACATAAGTTAGTATATTCTGTACAAATTAGGACACACAACCTACCCCCATGTGGCACGAAGATGTTCCACAGATCATTGCAACTCGGGATGTAATCGGCTGGTTCTCACATGGCAGGTTATGTCCTTTCACATCTGCTCCAATTACTCCTATTAAAATAAAATTAAAATTCTCTTTTAAAGAAGAAGAAGCCACCCCTCACCAAACAGAGCTCTTCTGCACACAAATGATTGCTAAAGAATCTGACACAACTGCCACAAATCAAGAAAGTCTACTTAGTCAATAAAGAAAATTATTTTATCCATCAGATTCAAATTTTTATTCCAAATACAAGGACACAAGATGATTTCTTCTATGTTCATGTTTATCATCATGATTTTTCAGTGTTATTTTGCCTATAACCTGACTATATTCTCTTAGATAGCACACTGACATGGAGAGTAAAGAGTGCCCTGCTGTAATGGCAGGCTGCAGATGTGTTTATTTGTTCACAGTTTATCATGCACATCCCAGATGATGTGTTTTGTCAGGGGATGAGTTGGAGAAAGGGGTAACTTGGCAGGAGACTGGGAGGCTGCCAGCTTTGTTGTCTTCACTGCTGCTGCTCTTCTGTCCGTGTCAGAACCATCTAAAGGGAGATTATTCCTTCCCTTAGAGGAACTGAGCTTGGCTCTGAGGAGCCTCTGCATGCAGGACAGGACAGGACAGAGGACAAACTCAGCAACACTCAGGCTGCAGCAGAAAATATACCCAGGAGATGCCAGAGAGGTGCCAGGCAAACCTACGGCCAAGCCTCAGAACACATCACATCCTGCTTGATTCACTCCATGGGAGGTTACAGTGGGAATCCTGCCCTCTCCTCCTCCTCTCCCAGGCTGCATTCTTGCACCACGTTGTGCTGCACCCAGAAAAATGCAACAGCCCAACAAGTAACATTCTCTTAGTTGTCTTTTTTCCTCTTGAATATCACTTTTCAAACAGCAAACTGGTCACCAGACTGCTCATTGCATCTGCATCTGCATCTGTAATGCTCAGTCTGGATACCAGTTTGCCAATCCTGCCAAAAAAAACCCTTTCCCCTCACATTAGAAGGATCATGAAAGCACTTGCTGGACACTGTGAAGGATGCCAAGTGCTGTGGCTGGTTCATATCCTACATTTCATTAACACCTTCTTGTTTAGGCCACCACTGCAACATTTTGTTGGGGTTTGTCTTACTTTGAGTGCCATGATTATCCTGGTATTATCATGGTTGGAAATCATCTAAATAATCAGAAAATTAAGGGGCTAAAATTTTACAGTCTTCAATAATCATAGGAATCATAATCTGTCCTTATGCCCCTTTATCCTTTAATTATGTGGTAGCACAGCTGTCATGCAGACAGTCAGGAACAAGAGAAAGCTAAAAGTAAGGCTTCTACCTCATATGCTTTATTTTTCACTGCTCCAACATGACATGTATGAGTTCATATTAGGAATTTTGGATAGAGTTGTCTACAAGGCAATTTCCTGTACTAAGCAATACTGTATTAGAATTTCTAAAGGAGCTAAAAATATTGTTCACACTTGAGAGGGACCAAATCTATGAAACTGAATTGTTAACACATGTCATAAATGCATTTTCATAAACAATACAAAATTAAGGACTCCATGTTTAGATATTTTTTAATCACTAAGAAAATATACATTCTGCAAAACAGGCATTCTGGGCCTTTTTGGAGTTTTTCAGGGTGGTTTTACTAGTGTTTAGAGTTGCAAGAGTCTTCCTATTCATGATTAATTGAAGTCAGAGAGCAAACGAGTCCAGAACATTCTCATAACAATGAAAGCTTTGATATTTTATTAGCTAAAAATAATATAATTGCTGTTATAAGTCACTTTCACCTCTAACTTAGTTGGAATTTTTCATAGTCCAAGGGCGACTCAACATCTTTTGAAGTACCTTAAGAGACAGTAAGAATGAGAAATCTGTGCACCTCACAAAACATAAGCGAGATTTTTAGGAAAGCAGGTAAAGTTTAGCATGTGCACTTCTGGATCTGCTCCACGGTGACAAGGTATTTTAGATACTGTATAATAAATGATCTACTTTTGTTGAAACAATGCTGATGTCTTTTGAAAAGGTAAAATGTAAACAGCACTTTCATAAGGCCAGTCCCAAAGCCTGGCCTCCCATACTCACATTTTTATCTGCACAGTTTTAAATTGGTACAGTACATCAAAATGTAAGACATAACTACTCAGCTCTTGGATTTTTACTTTTCCGTAAAAGGTATCAGATGGACCAATTCAGGAGTCACACATGACCTCCACAAACACAAATACTAAATAATTCTTTATCTGTACCTTATTTTACTCAAAACTTTGAAGCCTCCATAAACTTCAGGAACCTGCCCAGCAAAACTGCACTTTATATCCAGCCAAAAGTAGACATGATCAGCATCAAAAATTATTAACACTGAAGACAAGATGTCCATCATGTCATTCTGGTTTAGCCTGCAGGACACCAAAGAGCCCTTTTCATTACTCTGCTGTTACACACTATTTTTAAAACAACCAGCAGAATGTGTTTATGAATAAGAAGAATGACACCCACTGGATGTTGCTGTCCCCCAGACTAATCTAATGCCTACTGCTCTACAGGCCATATCTTTCCAACAAATTGTACTCAGTATTTCAATACAGAAAGGGTAAGAACTAAAACATACATCAGTGCCTTTCCTAAACAGATGTTTTACATCAAATACAAGATATATTTATTTCCAATATTTTCACATTTTACTTCACTGTTTCAAATATCTCTTCTCTCTTTTCTTTTGTGCTCTTTTAAGCACTATTAAAAGATTAATATGATTTAGTGCATTGCCATCCTTAGTGTCTTTTAACCAGAACAGTTTCATTCCTCATTATATTATCTTCCTTCTCCTTTTTGCTTTTCTGTTTTACCTTCAGGAATTTCAGCTCTGTATTCTACACAGTGCAGGTAAAACTAAACTTGAAAAATATTTATATTTCTCGTTATCAACAGCTATGGATGAAGGATTTATATTTAGCATTTCAGATGTGCAGCCACACTGTTTATTCTCTTTACATACATTTGCACTCTACAGTTCTCCTTTTTCTCCTGTTGTCACTTCTGTTATCAAAATCTTTTCATTTTTACTGCCTTTTCTACTAGTTTCCCTACCTATTTATGATCCTTCCCAGACTCAAGGATGAGTTCCATCTTCAATCTTCCTCTTGTCCCAGCCTGTACTGAGCTATCGTGTGATCACCACATGGGTTCTCCCACTGCCTTCCTGACTCTTCCCTCTGTGATTCCCCTCTCCCTCTCTAACAACAACCTGGGTGTTGTGTTTTCCTTCCCCTGGCAATCATTTCAGTAGTCTGCTCATGTTTGTGGCACCATCTGGGAAAACATATTTGGATAAACAGGACTAGCATAAGCAGACTGTCTCAATCCACTGAAGCCCTTCTCTGAGGGCTGTCAGTAGTTATGTATTTCTAATGTTAGAGTTTCTTTACAGAAGTCTATAAAAAAAGGAACGGACAATTGCTCTCTATTCTTCTTTAAATTCAATTAACTGATTTCAACACATGAAACTTTCTGTGCTCTGGATCCAGTACTCACATCATGATGCCAATTAAACAAGGTCCCTCCACTGCCACATTTTCAGGTGCTCTGTGACAACCCAGTTTTGCAGTAAGTTCATTATTTCAGGTCAGTTTATTATTACATCCTTTTCCAAGAACACAGAACTGCCAAGGCACACAGTTAAACACATTTTTATGCAGTTGGGATAATAATTGACACAAATAGATTTTTAAGTCAGTCACAACAGTAGGGGCACAACACACCTACAACTATGACACTAAAGCTCAGTCCTCCTTTTTGCACATAGATCTATGTCTAATCCCTCTGAAGTGGTAAGAAAAGCAATCTGCATGATTACTAAACCTCATCAGAAACAGTGATCAGAAGCAAAGTAAAGGGATTTAAACATTTTAAAAGTTCCAGACTCCAGCTTCTAGAAGAACAAATGAGACTTAAAACAGCACAAAATATCTGAAACAAAACTGGTATTTTAGCAGATAATCATATCTCAGTTCAACCTAGAGAAAAATCCTCTGATGAGCAATAGATTTCCATTGAAAAATACTGTTTCAATAACACTGTAACTTCCTGAGGTAAGACTTTTCTCTAAACAATCAAATTCAATAACCTCAATTTCCTGCTGAAAAAGTTACACTGAATCTCTTTGTTATTGACTGCATTAAGATAAGGCTAAACTACACAGTAAGAAAATGAAGCCACTGAACCTATCAAACACATTTCAACACAGTTGAAACTGGGCACATCAAAATAGGATGCTGGAAAAGAAACAAAGTCTAAGCATCAGGCCTTAAAGCCTTGAAGCATGAATCACTTCTAAAACTAAGAAGAAAGATGAACTGTGAACATGAGGCTTCTCCCTCAGAATGCACTTTTTTATTTTTCTTGCCTATCCCCAAAGTTTTGAGCAATAGAAGATGCAAACTCTCAGCATGTTGGCATTCCAACAGAATGGTACTTGGGCTCTGGAATTCAAAGTGGAACTAGCAGAAGTTACAACTGGGAAATTCAGCTGAAAAGACAAATAACAGTGATAGCTCCTTTCTATAAATATTAGCAGTTATTGAGATGACTTTATTTTTTTTTTAAAATAGCATCAGTTGGATAAAAACAGGCTGTGAGAAAAACGGCTTTCTAAGGTTAATTCAATACATTCCCATCTCCAAGAACAGTAAACACATGAGTGAGTACCTAGTCCTCCAGCATGTGCATCAATGAGAGATGCTGCCACTGCAATCCCTTCGGGGAGACCCAGATCTTTGGCAGCTTCTGGCGTTAGACCTTTTCCAACGGCCTCTCCAGGAGACAAGACGTGGTTTCCTGGGCAGACACAAGAAAAACCAAACACCTGTCAATTTACTAAACAGAAAAACCAACGTGTATGTTATTACAAGAACTCCCTTCCTCTCCCTCAAGTCAGCCTGGGATTCATAAAACAAAGAAGTGCATCAAAGAACTCAGTGGGATGGAGAAGGATCTTTCATTATCTGTCTGTACATTAAACACAACCAGGCTGGATCGGGCTGTCCCATAGCAATTTAGAAGTTCAAAAGCATTCAATGTCCTATCTTGCCACAGAGAAAGATTTCACCACAAGCAATTAAATTCTACTTGGCATCTTTCCAGGAGATATGAAATGCAGAAATCCCAGATTCCTGGGGCAGTTGCTGCCTGGGCTGCCTGAGCCACTCTCTGGGCATGGGAAGGAGACTCGGCTCAGTCCATGCTCACAAATGAACACTGCACCTGTTGCACAAGGAACAGGCCAATTTTTTTTCCATTTCCACCCCTTCCAGCAGTTACTACTAGGAATAATGTGGCTATAGCAACAGAAACTCTGAAAAAGAAACTGGCTTAAGCAGCAAATTCCTCCTGTTGCAGCTGTACTTCCTCACAGACTTAAATAATGTCTTTTTGAGCCTTCCCTGGCCTTGTGCAGTGTGAAGAAGGCAGGGAACACAACCCCTCCCTCCCAGCCCTGTCACTGGGGAGCCCAGGGGCAGGTCCTGCCTGCATTTCCCTCCACTGCCATAACACACATCCAGTTCTGTCTTCTGAAAAGAGACTGTTCCAATAAGTAAATCACGGTGATAGAGGCTGCTCAGACCTTAGAAGAACAAATCTAGATTCATTAAACTATCAGAAGTTAAGGACACCCCCGAGAGTCTCCTCTCAGGCTGCCGATAACCCCAGCCAGTGAGACCAGCAGCTCCTGGGAATGCACACACTCCACTATTTATCTGAAGGTTTGGGGGTGGGAGGCAGAGAAAGGCTCAGTGGGAGCTCCCAGAGATCTCCCTGCCAGCGCCAGGGCTTTCAGTACATTATCTGTAGCGTTTACTAAATTCAACACATCTGGGCAGAGTTGGCAAACTCCTTTTTAAAATACAATCCTATTTTCAGGGTCAATTCTATTGCGAATGTCATACCTAAAGCACATTCTGATGTTTAGAAAGGACACAACAATCCTGCACAACAGACATTAATTAAGAGGAATAGCACATCGTAACATATCAGGAATACACTAATTCCCATGAGTGTGAACTTCTAGAAATGCAGTTATACTGCCTTGTTAGATGAAAAGATTATGGTATTAAATTCACAGGTCTTCGGTTTTTCATATCACTTTGCTGTAAATGGTGTTGGTTCTTCAGTTTAAGAATTCACATTCCCCTTCTGCCTACTTCCTGAGGAATGCAGTGTATGGAGCACTTTGGGATCACACAGCACACACAACTTCATGGTATGAAGTTCATTTCTCCTGGAATTTCTATTCTATTGACAGTCACACACCACTGAGCCTGAAATTCCAGACTGAATCTCACACTGGAAATTTAAAACAAGTCTATATAGCCCGAATTTTTGCACTTGACTTTGGTTTATATTCAAATATTGGGGGCAATAACCAAACTTCACCATTAAGCTTCTACAGAAGGATGTGATGACATTACATGACCTCCTCACAGGAAAAGAAGTCTGTATTTTATCAATTTTATACTTCATTAATTACTTATTTTAAAATCAAAACATTGTGCTATCTTTTTCAAGAGGTGTATCTTTTGCATTGTTTCCCAATAAGTCGGAGTGCAGAATGTTTATCTTTAAAAGAATTCTGTATTATCTTTCTGGCTTTTTTTTTAAGACATTGGAGAAAAATACCAGTAAACTAAAGCTGTTTGCTTCTCCTCACATACAAAGACCCTGCAGGTGGGAGGAAGTTCAAAAGAGTTCAGGCAGCTAAACCCACATCTTTTTGTTCAGAATCAGTTGCCTGACCTGAAAGCACACAAATATGATGTATATACAGCATGAGATGAAGTCAACTTGAAATAAAACCTCTTTCCAGGCACTCCATTCCATGGCTGACTTGTTTATATCAGTCATACTAGTCAAACATTTCAGTGTCTAATTACTATACCCCATTTTAGAGATCAGAGCTACTATCACATAAAATCTTTTCCTAGCAGCTTCTCAATTACTGTATTTCTAGTTAATAAGCATTGAGGGAGCAATTTCAGAGATAAAGATAATCCTCTCTTCTACAGCAGCAGAAGAAATGAGCCTATAGATTCCTTTGGTACTGGTTTTATATCAGAATGACCAGCAGCACTGCTATCCCACATGGCAGTGAAGTGTGTGAGAATGTGCAGGGATGGGCTTCTTGAAGATGTAGCATCATCGTCTTGTATTTTGAACAAAATAATTAATACTAGAGTCTTCCCACATGTTTTAGGAGTCAAAGTACACCTGAACAAATATTCCTTGACTGAAAGCACTTCCCAGCAGTCAGAAGTCACCCATGACAGGGATTGCAAAGGGGAGTCTCCTGGGTCACACAACAGCCGGGGAGTGCAGAAAAGAGGTGCCAGAAAATGGGTGCACAAGGAGAGGATTCTGACTCTGTCCCTCTACTTCATACTTCCAGCTTTAGAGACCAATGCAAGCTCTGCTACACCCATACAACGTGTTCACAAGGAGCTTTGTAAAAGGGAAGGAGCAAGATCTGCCTGGCCACTCTTTCTGCATTACAGAATTTGCCTCCCCACAAGTGGGAAAAAGTATGTGGAATGGGCACTGAACCACATGGGTAGAGACCTGGGAAGGGAATTATAATTCTCATGGTTTAATCTTCACTGAAAAACTGGAAAATTCAGCTAGGCATCAGTATTAGAATCTGTAAATGTAAAGTTATTAAATGATAAAACATACAAAAAGTAACCAGTGAGGAGCCACAATTAAAAGTGAAGTGTTTGAAACTGCATTCCAGTACCAGATTGGGAGGGAGGGGACAGATTCTTACTTGAGCAAAACACAGCAGCTTTAGAAATCAAGGGACAGATACTATAAACATAAAGGTATTGTACAGCTACACACCAGCAATTCAGAGCAGGTGCTGCCACCCCTAAATCCAACCTGTCAGGGGAAAAAGAAGCTGTGGGAGGGGAAGGGAGGGAAGTGAGAGCTGCCTGCACAGAGCCGGGCAGTGAAAGCAGGGCAGGAGGCTGCATAAAGGAGGCACTGAAAGGCCCGAAACTCCTCAAGGCTCCTGCCAAAGTAAATGTATCGAGTCCTTTGTTTACAGTAGTCTCCTGTGCAAGTCATTTACCTTTGCTATAATGACTTCCAAAATTAGACCTAACCAAACAAACCCATAATGGCTGAAGCTGGAGGACTTTCTGTTTCACATTCATGCAGCTGTCTCACTAATGCAATGCCTTAATCCACAACCTTTCATTTGGGACGAGACAGGCTATTTCCAGTTATTTTTTCCCCTGTAAAGCAGCGAGTTTACAAAAGGAAAAAGCTGTCTGAATCTCTTCCTCCTCTTTTATCCTTCTTCGAAAACTTACATTAGAATTTGCTATGATCAAGCTTTGCTTAAAGAATTTCTGTGCTACCAAGGACCCTCTACCTTTTTAGGTGGTTCCCACAGGAACCAGCTATTTACAAAACACAACACACAAGGCCGATAATGCGTCTTCAGTCAACTTTAGTGATTAAAATACACTGTACTGGCTTACTAATATCTAACAGAATGAGGTACTTTAGGAAGTAGCCCTTTTTAAAACAACAAAGCCGAGCCCAGCAGGGGCCCAGCTGACTGAGCTGTGATACACTCACCCAAACAGCTTTTCATCTATCACACAGAACAGGGCTGCACTTCACATGCACTTATATTTGGCTGTGTAAGTGCTTAAAAATTCAAAAGGAATAAAATCCAAGGGAGACGTCCCTGTTCTTCACTAACTTGACACAAGCAAACTTGAATTTGGGTATATCAATCCCTTGCTGAAATCCCAGCAGCCTCAGAAAGAAACCCAGCTGGATGGTACATCCTATCCCTATTTCATAGCCCCCCAAACCGGACAACCTAAATACTTTCTGGTTTAAAAGACCATACAAAAACAGATATCCTGTTAAATAAGGGATATAGAACATGCACTGAAGAAGTTATCTAGTTAAACAAAATGGTGCTAAATAAGCACCAAAGGAAACACGATCTCAGTAAAAAGAAGCACCGTCCATTCAGATGGATCTTGTAATAGGCAATATAAGGGATTTTCCCCTTTGATGTTTTGTTCATTACAAAGCATGGAGACAAACTCCAATTTTTGTATTTTATAATAATCTCACAATGTCAAGAGTCTGCAAATAATATAAATAATATACATCATCCCAACCCTATCTCATACACAACACATTGTCAAACATCCCTCTCAATTACATACAATACTCACATCTAACTGAGATGTATATGGCTGCTTTTCTAGAATTTTTAACCCAGCTGAATAGCCAAAATAGTGCTAAGATCAGAGGAAGCAGGATAATGATGCAGACTATAAAACTATAATACTAATTTTTTCTTAGGACTGAATGCATGGTGGATAAAGGATGTTAGAAACAGTGAGATCTGGGGCTTTTTTAACCTGCGAATACCCTCCACAAAATTTCCTGGTTGGCAGTTAAAGACTTTAGCATTTCCACTGAGGAAAATCAAACTAAAATGTGATACTATAGGCTAGGTAACATAAAAGTGAGAAAAACAGTTAGTTAAACAAAACCACTTTGGCTTTCTTCAGTTCAAAATCCATCTCTGTCTACAAGAGCTGCCACAGGAGCTTGAGGTAATCTACTTTGGGTCCTTTCCATCCCAGTGTCCCACACAGCCAATGCCTTTGGCTGAACTACATCTCCACCTAATGTGTAAGTAGTTCAGGCAGACATATTAGGCTGCTAAATATTGGCAAAATCAAGCAACCTGTGTGCAGGCAGGTCCTGGTTGATTAAGCTGAACAGTAAATTGGTCAGCAGACCATTGG